TTTAATTTTGAAGGAAAACTTACACGAAAAATTACTATGCATAACTGAGTAAGTAGTCTAAATAGATATGATCAAAATAAATGGACTCTACTTCGAGTATACCGATGTGCCTCTCCTGTTGATGCTGGAAATGAACTTGCATTTCCCCTTATGGATTCTCAGAAAAATGATGAATTTTCTCTCATTTCTCATCAGATTTCCAATTCAGTTTACCAACAAGAGTGATTTTTGCCACAGCCACATTATTCAGTTTCCTGATGTCTGCGATAGGCAACTCTCTTGTGATTTGCATCATAGCCAAGCAACAGTCCATAAAAACATCAACCAACTATCTCATAATGAACTTGGCTGTTTGTGATATTTTAACCACTGTATTCATGACACCAAACGCCATCAAAAGAATTTTTCTTGAAGGAAAATGGTTTGGCGGTGTTATGGGAAGCGTCACATGTAAAATGGTGCAATACGGAAACTCTGTTACACTTTATTGTTCTCTTTTAAACCTAGTTGCTATCGCAATTGATCGATGTCTTGCTGTCACTCGACCACTATCTTACAAGCTGTCATCAAAATGGCTGGTAAACATATCAATTCCGGTCATGTGGTTGATTTCGCTTTCATTACCTATAGCAAGTGTGTCTGACACACAATTATTATACTACGACGGCAATGTTTGGCCAAGATGTGAAGAGGTAGGAAATCGAAGCTCTTGGAATTTGTACTTGTCGATAGCTTCTATGGTCTGCTCATTTATCGCATTGATTACGCTTTATTCAGTGATTTCTTATCGACTTTGGAGAAGAAACATTCCTGGTGAGATGTCCAGCAATCAAGAGGAGCTTTTTATTCGTACAGCGCGAAAGGTCACCATTTTAATGATATCAGTTGTAGTTGTCTTTTTTGTTTCATGGGCACCAGCTTTTGTTTTTCTCATAATCTTCGAATTTGGAAACGCTAGTCCTACGCTTGGAGCAACTGTAATGCAATACCCGCTTTTATTTGCTTTGAGTTACTGGCTAATGTGTAACAACAGCGCTTTCAACCCTTTGTTGTATTTCGTATTTATTGAAAGTTTTCGTCAAGGCTTGAGATCGGCTTGTTCAAGATGTCGGGTTCCTCGATTCTCCGCGCATAAAAGGAGGCTCGAAGCTGGACGAGAATTAACGAGAAATGTGCCAGCTTTGGACATCATCAATAGGGAAGAAGGAAACATTGAACTGACGGCATACTACAGGTACAGTTCATAAGCGTATAAAACGTTTGTAATTTAGCTGTGTGGTGGACGAAAGACCTCGAAGGCCTCAGGTAGATTAAAAAAGTGAGCCATGTAAATAATGCTTCTTCTTTGTTAAAAGAGAAAAACTGTTGTTTTGAATAAATTGTTCACCACTTATAAGTATCCGAGACAGAAATTTTCATTCTAAGTCCCCTTTGCTTTTACTTTAAGTGGTCTAGAAATCTCGCGCTAGTCTCTAAACCAATCAGATTCAAAACTACAAGAAATCACGACTTGGTCGCTCGCCTTTTCCCGCGCTCCAGGCCCTTTGGTTGGTTTTACTTTGAGTTCTCATTGGCTCTTAAAGGTATTTTCCTTTCTTCTGATTGGCCGTAGTCATTACTTAGGCCTTGGGTCCTTTTCGACACTCAACCGCACGTGGGGGTTCCTCAAGGTACAAAACTGGGGCCGTGGCTGTTTATCATAATGATCAACGAGCTAGATGTTCCTGGCACCGATCGCTGGAAGTAGGTCGATGACATCAGTATTTCGGAGACGTTAAGTAAGAATCAGTCATATTCAAGCCGCTGTTGACATCCTTGCAAACCGTGAGTCCGTGGATAAGTTTCAACTGAACGAGACGAAATGCAAGGAACTGCGAATTAAATTTAGCACTAGCAACACTACTTAGAGCTACTTTATTCGATCACTTGTTGTTAATAGTATGCCTATTGATATAGTTTCCAATGCCAAAAAAGTAGGCGTAAACATCCCTAATGATTTTAAATGTAACACCACATAGTTTATCTTATCTTAAACGATCTGGTCTTGGCACTGACGAGTTTATTCAGTTTTTCTGCTCATGCATTCGTCTGATCACGGAGTAGGCATGTCCCGTCTTGCGTGATGATATCCCCGCGTACCTCTCCAGCGAGTTTGAAGCTGTGCAAAAGCGGGCCATCACCAGAAATCGGGGACATTTTGAGCCCGTTACGAAATTTCAGCGGTATGTCGTATAACAGACAATTCAATGTGGTGGCGGTGGAAGTGAAGTGAACACGTAACTTGCTATTTTCGTAAAACCCCACCAGAGAAAGGCCTGGCACTTTACTATCCCAGAAAGCCAAAGGAGACGTCAAAACAAGGAAAATGGCGGCCAGATTGTGCAATTACAGGGACTTGTATCTAGATCTTTCGTGTTCTTCCTTCCTAAAATTGGGGTATTTAAAAATGGCGTATTGGGCTTTTGAGCTCTTTGAAAATACGAAGAGTCTCCTGGCTCAAGGAAAATTTGTGGGGCAACATATTCGACCGTTTACGAGCGATTAGTTGAGCAAACTTCTGCAGAANTAATATGAGAACCACCTCCGCCATATTGTCTCAATGTTTTGGAAATCCTATGCGCATCATCTTTACCTTTTGCTAATATTATGAAGGCTAGTTGATAAAGTATTTAAAAAAATTATTTAGAGCGAACAGGACAAGCTCCATGACATTCTTCCTGTTCGTAACACATATGATTTGAACTTAACAAAACATGGGAAGCTTTGGGCTCGTATTCACGACGACTAGATTTAGTAACAGTTTTATCACTTTGAATGCCTAAGGTCTAGTTACTTGGAATTTGCACGTGATCACACTATTTCCCGATAGTATTTACTGTTCGTGTTGGAGTTCTACAAAAGAAAAATAAACATCTCACAATCGTTTCAGGATAGCCCGTGTAGTTTGGAGTAGATTGGCGTGGTAGGTGTTGTTTGGTGTAGTAGCTGTAGTTGAGTAGAGTTTGGTGTAGTAGGTGTTGTTTGGTGGAGTTTGGCGAGATTTGGTGAAGTAAGGAGTAGTAGGTTTAGTTTGGTGTACTTCAAGGTAGTAGGTGTAGCAGGTAAAGTTTGGTGTACCTTGGTGTAGTGAGTGTATTTTGGTGTAGTAGGTGTAGCGATGTAGTTTGGTGTAATTTGGTGTAGTAGGTGAGTATTGTGTAGTTTAGTGTAGTTTGGTGCAGTTTGGTGTAGTTTGGTCTAGTTAGGTATAGTAGGTGTAGTAGGTGTAGTTTGTAATAGTTTGGTGTCGTTAAGCGTAGTATGTGTACTTTGGTTTAGTTTGGTGTAGTAGATGTAGAAGGTGCAAAGAGTGTAGAGGGTGTAGTTTGGTATAGTTTGGTTTATTAGGTGAAGTTTGGTGTAGTTTGGTGTTGATTAGTGTAGTTTGGTGTAGCAGGTGTAATTTTCAGAGTAGGTGTAGTTTGGTGTAGTTTTTTAGTGTAGATGAGGATGGTTTGGTGTTATAGGATTAATTTGGGTGTAGTTCGGTGTAGTTTGGTGTATTAAGGCTAGTTTGGCGTATTTCGTTAATTTGATGTAATTTGGTGTAGTAGGTGTACTTTTCAGAGTAGGTGTAGTTTGGTGTGGTTCGGTGTAGTTTGGTGTAGTGTGGTGTAGTAGGTGTAGTTTGGTGTCTTCCCGTGTAGTTTGGTGTAGTTCGGTGTAGTTTGGTGTAGTTCGGTGCAGTTTGGTGTAGTTCGGTGTAGTTCGGTGGAGTTTGGCGTAGTTCGGTGTAGTTTGGTGTAGTTCGGTGTAGTTTGGTGTAGTATGAAACGAAACTACGCCTACTACAACTAATTACACCAAACTACACAGTCCTACTACACCAAACTACACCTACAACACCAAAGTACAACTACTACACCAAACAACACTCAATAAACCACACTACACTAATCTACATTAAACTACACTAAACTACATCAGTCTACACTAAACTGCACCTAACTACACAAAACTTCGCCAACTACACCAAAGTACACCAACTACACCAAACAACACTTAATGAACCAAACTACGCCAAACTACAATGGATACACCAAACTACACCAAACTACACCTGCTAAACCAAACTATACGAAACCACACCTATTACACCTAACTACACCAAACTACACCCAATAAACCAAACTACGCCAAACTACACCTGCTAAACCAAACTGCGCCAAACTACACCAAACAACACTTACTATACCAAAGTACACCAACTACACGAAACTACACCTGCTACACCTAACTACACCAGACCTCACCTACTGCAACACAATAGACTGGAGGGGAAGAATGCATTACACTGTGATTAATGGAGTCAAATAAATTTAATCTGACATGTTATCAGTAACAAAATGTATATCACAGGGATCTGTTTTAGGCCCTATTTTTTTCACTTTGTTCACTAATGATCTGCCCGCCGCCATTATCACGGGATCCCTGTTCATGTACGCGGACGATACGTCAATTTTCAGCATCGGAGAGTCTGCAGACGCAGCGATTGCTTCCTTGAACTACGCTTTGCAAGAGGTCTACAGGTGGTGCCTAGAGAATCGCTTAACACCTCACCCGGCTAAGAGCGAAGTCATGTTAATTAGTATACCAACCATTATAGGACCGCTACCTCCAATATTTTAGGGTAAATCTGTTTTAGGCTATGTAAAAAAAGTCGCGTCCTCTTGGAATGATTGTAGATGACAAGCTTACCTGGATACCGCATATGCTAGAACTAAAGAAAAACTTTGCGAACAAAATAGACTTATTGAAGCGCTCAAGGTTCTTGCCCAAAAATGTCCTTTTAAAGTTTTATTTTAGTGTAATATTACCTTCTGTGAAGTATGGTATTATATTATGGGGTTCGTGTACAAATTCGGATCTTCTGTACTCAATTGAGAAACTTCACTGTAGAGCAGCAAAAATTGTCTACAACTTATCCAAAGATACGGAATCTAATGTAGCTCTCGACGTTTCAGGATGGGATACGATCAATTTAGAATACAAATTTCAAATAGTTAACCTTTTTTATAGAGCAAGTAAAGTCTCACTACCTCAGTCTCTAATTAATAGCATATTCATAAGGCG